TTTTGTGACTAAATAGTACGGCTTTTTGTCACTAAATAGTACGGCTTTTGTGACCAAATAGTCCTTTTTTTTTTTAAGTATATGCTACTTTGACTGGTAAGAATCAGCATTTCAATCCACACTTATTTAACTATAGTAACATAGATAGTATCATGTTAAAGAAATTCATACAATCAACATAAAAAGGCATAAATAAAACTTGAACAGTATTACAAATCCAATAAAATAAACAGCACATTTGTTTACGAACAAGAACAGTTAAGAAAACAAGTTTCAATATTTTCTTGGATCACAACAGATAAGCATGGTTTCATCCAGAATAAAAAAAAACCTCCTAGCTTTTGATTTCTTAAAGGCAAATCAAATTTTCCAAATGAACTAGTTAAAATTGTTTTTAGTGGCTTCTACCCTGAACCATTAACTAGTGACCACTAAACAAAAACTGTGTGTGAAAAACCTTTAGTATCTAATCAACAGGAATTATATGTTGAACTAAAAAAAAGAGCATTGAAATTATTTTCACAACAGCACTAGAAATATTTCTTATCCTGGTTAAAATCTAAACTCTTCATTACCAATAAAAAGAACTTACCTAGCCCCAAACACTTTAAATAATACCCTAATGCACTTGTAAGTTTATTATTTTGTAAGTCATTTCAAAAGATTTCAGTATAACACTTCTATAAACTATCTCAGAATGTTACAGAAACCTATATTATTTAGCTTAAATTGGTATTAAAGCTTACATCTTTAAATTTTTTATGGTGTTACAACCAGCATCACACAGATTTATAAGTCTAAATGTTAATAAAACCTACAGACTTCAGATTCTAAGCAAAACATCATATAAGATCAGGGGGCATGTTCCCCCACCCCCCAATGGAGAGCTCTGCCCTCCATCTGAGATATAGTCTTTTAAGATTTCTAAACTTTCTACATTGTGACTCCTACTGACATAAGAGTGTTAATTTTTTCTGCCCCCTCCTAACGAATTTTGACAAGTTCTGTGCAAAACTATGAAATACTAACCAAAGTTCAAAAATACTAATTTCATGTTATCATCTGTATAAAATCTACTGAACTAATTTGGACAAAGTAGAAGTTAAAGGTTCCTAGGATGTTTTGGCACCACAACACAAATGTTAGTAATATTTGTTTGCCACACATAATTCATTTCATCAGGTTCTTGCTCCATAATATTCAAGTAACTTAACAAAAACAGACTTCTGATTTCATTTGTATAAAAAAAAAAGTTAGTGACCATTTTTGCATACCAAACATATTTTAACTTTAAATTGACCCTGGATAAAACTCTCTTTTTCTGTTGAGGTTTTTACATTAGAAACAACTACACTTTTATGTGGACCATTTGGAACATTTACAAGCTTGTTTGCTAGTAAGGCAGCCTCTACCATCCAGGGCAAAGGTGAGAGTCCTTTTCATCAGAACCTAGAGGAGGTTCGGCTTTGTCTATAAGTCCCAGAGAATACTGACCTTCCTTAGTATAATTACCTTCTGGGCCATGTAGTGCTCGAGTCTACATTGGAAGCAAAAATATGACAGTTCAAATGGACATTAAAAGAAATACTGACAAACAGTAAAATTTTAAAAACCACAAACACTTGAAATATAATTGATGATATGCGTTAGGATTAGTAGTCGTGAAATACAATTGATACACATTAGGGTTAGTAGGTAAGTTTGTAATAGAACTAAAGGAAAACAAGAAAACCTTGAAAGTTACTAACTCTACAAACCAAAGTACGAACTTGTTTCAAACATAAGTAGGAAATAAACAACAGAAAACCATCTTGGTGCCTAAAAAGTGTAAAAATTTACAAGTGTAACAAAAAATTAATTATAGATAATATAATAGAAATGAACCTATAAATAGAGAAGACAGGAAAATAAAATGTATTTACATCCACTATTTGTGATGAAGCAATATCAAAAACCAGCTGATGTTTTGAAGATTCTTAAACTAAACAGCTCATTATAAAAGATAAAATTCATTATTATCTGATGACCTAGAGAGTCTTACAAGCTCTGGTAAAGAGAGAAAAAGCCTTCATAAACAATAGTTTATTGTGAGCAAAACAAAAAAAATGTTTTGGTTACTTGTACAGTGGTTTTAAAATGTTTAACTTTTTTGTTGTTCAATTTCTCTTGGCTGTTGTCTATCAAAACAAATATTGCAATGATGAGAAATTTGAATTGAGTTAAATCTAATTTCATCACTGTTACTCACTGCATAATGTGCCGTTAACAAAGTTTACTGATGACTGATTGTCACTTTCTTTCGAAAACAAACAACCTAGCATACTATAACACCTGCTAAGTACCCCACACTAGTACTTACATGTAACTGACAAGAACCCCACTGCACTCCTTATGTGTAACTGCCAAGAACCCCACTGCATTCTTTACGTGTAACTGCCAAGTACCCCACTGCATTCCTTACGTGTAACTGCCAAGTACCCCACCCCACTACTTATGTGTAACTGTCAAGAATCCCACCCAACTTCTTATGAGTAACTGCCAAGTATCCCACCACACTACTTATGTGTAACTGCCAAGAACCCCACCCAACTCCTTATGAGCAACTGCCAAGAACCCCACTGCACTCCTTATGAATAACTGCAAGTATCTCACCCCACTACTTATGTGTAACTGCCAAGAACCCCACCCCACTCTTTATGTGTAACTGCCAAGTACCCCACTCCACTCCTTATGAATAACTGCCAAGAACCCCACTGCACTCCTTATGAATAACTGCCAAGTATCCCACCCCACTACTTATGTGTAACTGCCAAGAACACCACCCCACTCTTTATGTGTAACTGCCAAGTACCCCACTCCACTCCTTATGAATAACTGCCAAGTATCCCACTTCACTCCCTGTGAGTAATTGCCAAGTATCCCACTCCACTCCTTATGCGTAACTGCCAAGTACCCTGCTCCACTCCTTACATATAACTGAATAACAAACAGAATAGATAAATGTCACCTATTTACTTATAGTAGTTGCTGCTTACTTTCCCACAAAGAAACTTTATATTTACATTGTGAGATCAACAAGAACTTTGTATACATGTCATTATATCAACAAGAACTTTGTATTTATGTTATTAGATCAACAAGAACTTTGTATTTATGTTATTAGATCAACAAGAACTTTGTATTTATGTCATTAGATCAACAAGAACTTTGTATACATGTCATTAGATCAACAAGAACTTTGTATTTATGTTATTAGATCAACAAGAACTTTGTATTTATGTTATTAGATCAACAAGTACTATGTATACATGTTATTAGATCAACAAGAACTTTGTATTTATATTGTTAGATCAACAAGAACTTTGTATACAAGTTATTAGATCAACAAGAACTATGTATTTATGTCATTAGATCAACAAGAGCTTTGTATTTATGTCATTAGATCAACAAGAACCATGTATATATGTCATTAGATCAACAAGAACATTGTATTTATGTCATTAGATCAACAAGAGCTTTGTATTTATGTCATTAGATCAACAAGAACTTTGTATACATGTTATTAAATCAACAAGAACCATGTATATATGTTATTAGATCAACAAGAACTTTGTATTTATGTCATTAGATCCACAAGAACTGTGAATTTATATCATTAGATCAACAAGAACTATCCTTTATCATAATGAAAGTGGCAACAGGTTTTTAAGAAGTGTGAAATTTTGTTTTAACCCTTTCCAAAGCAATGAGCACCTTTCGTGTGTCAAGTTCACACCTGCATAACAAATATCAAAATTTACGTAAAAATAATAATTCTAACTCAATTTCAAAAACTGTTTACTCAAAAAAATGTCTGAATTGATGTTTTGTCACATTTATTTAGAGTAATTCACAAAGAACATGTGCAAGTTGTTTTTGTGAAACATCTATACCCCCACTAATGTTGTATTTTTAAATGCTCCTGATTTGATTGACCTTGAGTTCTGACCTTCAAAAGTTAATTAGGTCTATAACTTTGTATGTAGTACCAGTCCTATAACATGTGCAAGTTGTTTTTGTGAAACACCTATGGCCCCACTAATGTTGTATTTTTAAATGCTCCTGATTTGATTGACCTTGAGTTCTGACCTTCAAAAGTTAATTAGGTCTATAACTTTGTATGTAGTACCAGTCCTATAAATTTATTCAAACTCCATCCATCCAGTTTTTAAATATCCTGTCCACAAGATCAGAACAGGCGAACAGACAGAGGCAAACCAATATGCCTAGCTCTGCTTCATGAAGCAGTGGGGGCATAAAAATGAGAAAATTTTCAAATATACATTTCTGCACAGCTCGAAGGATACTCTCCTGTAAACAACGCATTTATCCTTGTTTTGTTTTTTACAGTTTTTCAGCCCATCTCAAAGCTTAGGCTTATATTTGCTGAGAAATCATCCCTCTCTAAGAATACAATTATAAATGTTTTGTTTCTCATGTGATTCTCCTTCTGTTTCACAGATTTTATTAGTTACAACTTACATTCCCACCTGTCTATGATCTCACACTATGTTACTAATCACGCTGTGTTATAAAAATGTCTACAGGTAAAGTTTAAATATCATTGGCCAAAGCAGATTAATGTCAATGTAGAGTGAATAAAGTGGTGTAAAAAGTAATTCATGGTTTCATGGGAAAATGACGAACCCTAGCTCAGTCACAGAAGAACAATGGAACATAGTGAATAACTTAGAAGACTTGCAAACAAACCACAGATCTGAGAATTTGTTTTAGATGTTCTTCCATTCTTGAACATTTTTTTAGTGTTAATCAATATTTGTTTGGAAGCCATGACAGTTTTCTTCTATGACAAGACATCACATAAGCATTATTAGGTGTAAGGAAATGGCAACATTTTCTGGTGAATGAAATATTTATTATTATTATTTTTAAATTTATCATATACAAACAAAGTACACAAATAAAATAAGTAATTTTTGAAGAGACATGATGGACATCAACGTGATCAAAGTTTTAAACTCTCACATGATTAAGGGACGCGAACATGACAATACTTTGGTCTCAAAATACTGCTCACTGATTGGTCCACCCTGTACGTTTAACTGTGACCGTACGTATTTATAATTTTTGAAGAGAACGTATATTTATAAGGTATAATTTGGTTTCAAACAATAATATTGTTAGCAAAAACAGTGTTATCTAGTCTGACCTAATGCCATTTTGGAATTGTCAGGTCTTATGTCACTAATAAATCTTTGTTAGTATATGTAGTGTTTTCTAAGATTTATAGCTAGAAATGTTGACTACTATAACTGGAATAACAAAGCATAAAATTTTTTTAATGAAAATAAATCAATTTAAAATCAACTGGATATATAAAATCTAACTTTCTGATCATCAATAAATATTGAAATTCTAAGCTGAAAGGAAGTATTCTTTTTTTAAAAAAAGTGTCTCACAACAAGATTTTCTAAATTTCACAACATAAAAAAATCGTAGAAAAACTTAATGAAATTACATGAATCTTTTCAAGCCAAAACCAGATATTATTTAGTAAGTTTGTTCTAAGTTTCATGCAATTTAATTAAGTGTTTCCACTATGAGAAATAAAAACACCAAGAGATATCAGTGATATTCCCCAGTCCAGAAAGGGTTAAATCACTAGTCATGACAACATAGCACTGCATTCTGTTTGCATTATCCAAATAAGTGCTTCCATACCAACTACTATTACAGTCATTAAATAATACAAAATTCTAGCCTTACATTTAAGGCATCAGTACAACATTTCATAATGAGTATTCTCATCATTTTCTTTTTTGTTTTTACACATTCATGTACAGTAAGAAATTTCACAAACCAAAGTCTCTGCTTCACAGTGGCTTTATAATCAAGTCCCTCATTAAGTGACATAAAAATTAGTGTACAATTTGGAATGCCATCAGAACTATTAATACATTCACTGAGTGAAGTGACTTACCTTTATAAAGTTCACTACAGTGCTCTTTTCAACATGATTCATCAGAAGTTTACATCCCCATGCTACCAGGGCCAAGGGCTAAAACAGACGTGGAGTTAATTTTTAAGTAAAACAGTTTTCATAGCTTGAGATTACTAAACAAGCAATCAAAATCACTCAACTAAACTCATGTGTGAGAATACAAATCCAGAGAAAAAAAAATATTTACTTTGATCCCCTTAATTATAGTTTCCATAATATAACTTTTAGTGCACCTCGTGTAACTTCATAAAGAAATTTGGCAGACTTTTAGTAAAAACAAGTCTTTTGTACACAAAGAATCATATTTTTCAATGAAGTATTTTTACTAAGATTTGTCTGTGAATATATATATTATTTCTACATACTAGTCTGAGTGCTAAGTAATTTCTATGTTAAGATTAAAACTACTTTTCTTCGTCTCAAAAATCTTAAATTTTATTTGTGTAATCACTGCAAATCTCCAAAATACATTTCAAACGTTTTTTGTTTCAGTAAAACTTTATATTTTATCTGTTATTTTCTCTATCCTAATTATACAAGATTCGTCAATTTGACTGACCTAGTAACCACCAAATAAAAATTAAATAAATCTAAATTAGCCTTATTTCTTTCTAGAAGCTATACTTGTTTATCCTAAATAGCTTTACACTCGTGACAGTATACATCAATTAATACTTAAATGTTATTGTTTTATTGCCCTTTGAACCCTGTCTAACTACTAATCATGCCATTATAAGTTGTAAATCACTTGGTGATTGTGCATCTCATGTTATATTATCAAATCAAATTAGGCACAAACTTCTCACAATTGTACTTCATGAAACAATTTTATTATATTATTATTTATTTCACCTAATCTAACCTCAACTAACATAAAGTTTACTATTTTTACATTTTCGTTACTTTTATAATAATACATAAAGAATAAAGATGAAAAACAAGAAAAAAGTCCTTACCTGGATCTTTTTTTTTTTGGTTTGGCTGTT